AGGATTTGAAATAAGTTTCTATAAGTTTAAAGTTAGATTTACTATTTGTTTCTCTTTTTCTCCTCTTTTTTATAGATAGTTTGATGATATCTTAGGAGAAACTTAGTTATAGAGCTAAATCCTCGGTGGATCTTGATGTAAAACAAGTAATATTTGGTAGATCTAGTGTAAATCATTGCTCTAAGGTAAAATGAGCTTACTTTAACTATTAAACGATGTTTAGAACAATTTGGTATGTTATTACAAGAAGTTTTGAGATGATTTTATCAGATCTTTTGGATAAAAGATATTTTCTATGTTGTAATTGTTGTTAATTGATTTAAGAGTTGAGATATGGCTGAAATATTATGAATTGTTTTAGCTGAGTTGTTGAGAATATGATTTTGTCTATACTGCATCATGTTGAGATATATGTCTTGCATCATTATAGAGCCAAGTTACACGTTTAGATAGTTAGACATGTAACAATAGAGCATGCTGAGCTGTGTTGTGTTGTGCTATTTGGATCCAGATACTGAAATAGGTTGCTCTCGGACCGGCTCAATTTCTTCTAGATTACTTAGGCTGTGAAACCAGTTGGAACCACTTTCATGGTGTGCATATTAGATGGACTGGGAATGCATGGGTCTGCCACTGTGAGTAATATTTTGCTCTATATATATGATTTTTCTTTCGTAAGCTCACCCTTGCATTTCTGTCTATGTTGTTGTGTGTGTGTGTCCTGCGATGATCGTACGGTGGTACATGAATAGATGTAACAGGTGTTGCATCTACTTCATAGGCTGAGAGACCAGTGGAGAAGTGTTAGAAAGCTGGAGCCAAGTAATTTGACATTAAAGTCCTTTTTCTTATATTTTGAGACCTCATATAGAGGAAGAGTTATGTAGTATAATTTTTTGTATTTTGAGTATTATGAACTAAATGTATTATTATGTTGTTCTGTTGGATATTTGTTGTAAGGAACTTTGTTTTATTTTGAATGAGAAGTGAATTTTATACTTATATTCTCCATTATTTATCTATCTTAAATAAGTAAATGGTGTAGAAATAATATTTTCGATTCCTTATAAAAAGCGATCGTGACAACTTTGGTTCCTTTTTTATTACAGACAAAATTGGAGCAATGGCCTACAAAATCCAACTTCCTATTGGTTCAAGAATGCACGTGTTTCATGTTTCTCAATTAAAGAAGTATGTTAGAGAAGTTGTAACATCCTCTAATATTCCTATGGAAGATGTCAATACAATTGGAGGCAAGGAACTTGAGGCAATTAAGGATAGGATGACTGTGAAGAGGGGCAACAGAGTTGTCACCAAAGTTCTTGTCAAGTGGAAGCATTAATTGTCCATGGAAGCTACTTGGTAATTCTTCTTTGATCTCAAGAAAAGCTTTCAAATTTCAACCCTTGAGGTAAAGGATTTTGTTAAGGGGCGTGTCACATTATTGGAGAACTAACTAGCAAGTGTATTAGGTAGTTGTAGCAAGTAATAAAATTTGGAAATCAATGTGAGTCCCAAGTATCGTTCTCAGGGATTAGGTCTATCAATTACCACTTCACAAATCAATAACTATTTGAGCTAAACGAATATTGGAGATGTTTCGAATCATTTGAGAACAAAAATAATAAAGTGCAGAAATCTGAAAAATACAGCAAAACAGAATATGAATTTTGTATTAAAATGATATATGGAAAATAGTTAGAAATCACTTCACCAGATTTTCTATTGCAATGTAATAATGTTCTGGACTCTTAAGAATTTTAATTGATTGATAATCAATTTCACTTCTTTAACCAAAGGACAATTCCTTGCCTCATTGATCCTAATAACTAATTAAACCTCCTTAATTCCTTAGGTGAAATTCAACCAAATATTGCATTAAGTTCTGAAAATTATAGGATTACTAGATTATGATACTTATTCCTAAGATCTCAATAACCTAGCCATATAATTCAGATCTGAGAAATAAACTCAATTTCCATTGATGAAGATTCCTCTAAATTCAATTGAATGAAAGATTAGTTCACAATTGCATTAAGAACAGAATCACATACTCAATTCAATTAAAACCTCAAGGTCCACATCCAAAATTACATCACAATATCAAATTTGGATCCATAGATCCCTAACAAAAAGAAATCAGAACATGCTCTTAAAAGAAAAAGAGAGAGAAAGAGTAGAAGAAGAGAAGCTGTAGAATTTCTTCATAAATCCAATCCCCAGCCTGATTTCTCAAGGTCTAGAGCTTGGAAGTCGCCCCCAATTTCCCTCTCTAACTCTCCTAAGGTGTGGAAATGAAAAGAAAACAAAAAATGGCAAAAGACTCCCTTTTCTAAGTTCCTAATTCCTATTTATAGAGTTCCTCTCATTCTTCAACTTAACCCTTGAAATTCTGATAGTTAGTTGTCCCCAGGTGTTCTGGAATCTTCTAAAAGTGATACAAAAGCTCTAAATGTCCAGAATTGGAAGGAAGAAGAAGGTATGAAAATTGCAGAATTCTGCGCCAAAATGCGTAGTGGCTAGAGTGAAGGCGCGCGGTTGCGCGCCTTGGCTGCAAGTGCTATGAGTTGCAACGCGCTCTTGCACGCCAAGGCTTCAAGTGATGTGCGTTTCAATGCAATGGCAGTTATCCAATTTCAATTGCTGGAGTGTTAACGCGCATCACTCAGAGTGGCCACGCAGACCCAGTGCTGTATTTTGTTCTTTTCACGTTCAAACGCCAATCACTTGGAGTTGTAACGCCCAGCTCTTAGGATTTCTTCAAGCTTGATTCTTTGACTATTCTTCTTCAATTTCAGCTGTTAATCCTTCCTTTAAGCACTTTCAACAACTTTCTATCTTTTTGCATGAACTCCTACAAAAATCTAAACAATTTTTAATATTTCAACAAAACAACAATTTATACTAATTATATTATTTTTGTGATCTTTTCAAGTTTATTTTAGAACTATTTTCCTAATTATTAACCAAAAACTATGCTAAAAACATGGTAAAATATGGATTTATTAGGGCTGGTATTGATATAGGATACTATGTAGTTGGAAATTCTATTAAGAATTTATTTATTTTTAGTTTTATTGAATTGGTAGTTAAGTTTTTGTTTTTGATAGCTATTAGGTTCATATGTTAGTTAACAGTTATAATTTGTAAGTTCTGATTAGGAAGATTCAATTCATTTGTAATAAATTTCTGTTCTTATAAAATTCAATACAGTTTCAGATTCCATTATTTCATTAGAGTTCCTATCTTCTTTCAATTCTTTGAGTTAATTCTCTTCTCCTAGAATTGCTTACATCACAACCCCAACCAGAAAAGCTTCAAATATTAACGTTTGATTTGTGGGACACTAGATCTTGAAGATCATGGGATTTGAGATTTTCAATTACTCAATGAAAAAGGTAGTGAAGGAGAAAAGACATGGATATATAAGTGTGTTATTGACATTGATGTGTTGTTCGTTTGTGACATGTACGCTTTGTTTGGATGACATAAATTATGAGGGAAACATTTGGCTGCAAGAAGGGAGAAGAGCTGAGTGAAGTATTTTTTGTGGATCCCATAGCAAAACAAATTTTCCCTGAATAAAAAGTACATAGGAACGGAGAGTGAGACCTACTCGGTGACATAAAATTTTATTTTTGATTTTTTTAAAATAAAATAATATAAAATATAAATATTTTTATTAAAAATATTATAATAATTTTTTTTAAATTAATTTAAATGTTTTTAATACAACTAAATTCATATTCCTTTTTACTTATCCAAACAACTGAAAAGAATTTATTGTTATTTTTTTTTTTATTTTAATTCATTTAAATACTAAATATTCTTTATTATATTTCTACTCTATTTCTAATATATTATTTCTTTTATTTTTATTTTTTTAATTTATTTTACCTCACATCCAAAATTCAAACAAATCAAGAGCGCAGGAGGTTAGGGGTGGTGTTCGTTTAGATGTTGTTGGCTTGAGAAGGGGGGGATAGAGGAGTAGGATATATGTTTTGCATAAACAGAAAAACATTTCTTTATTTGTTGGATCAAGTTAGAGGTTGAAGATAGAGACAAGTCAATGTTGAAGGAAAAAGATACTTTAGAAAAGATTAGATGTGAAACAGTGAGAGGTGGATCGAAGGAACAAGCGAAGCGAGTACTAACTACTAATTTAATAATTACTCCTAACAACCAGTGTTTCGTTCTCAAACTTCAAATTTTAATAAATAAATTAGACTACACATAACGCGTTACATTATGAACTAAATAAACGTGCATTCCTTTGATTGGTTCCAGTATCAACGATTTTTATTTGTCAAAACTATCCCTAACCAAATTCAATTATTTTGAATCGTTTTTTTCTCATTCATATAACCCAAGAACCGAGCAAACCCGCCCACTAATGTTTTTTCTCCTTCGGTCGATTGAGTGTTTGGGGCCTACCTCTAATGAGCACAGCACAAGAAGTTGCAAGAATCAACCTATTTGTCCTCCAATGGATGGAGATGCGAATGTGTACCTAAAAAAGTGGTCAATAATCACAGAACATGCCTGTTAAAACAAGAGAAATGTAAAAATGCTAAATTGATAAAAAAAAAATTACTTTTAATTTTTTTGTTTGCTATTTTCGAGTAATTGAACCAACTTTTGTTATTGGTAGACTTGAAATTTTGTTGCAAATATTACCTATTTGTCTTACGAAATTATAACTTGGAAGTGATTTACGGTCTATGTTCTATAAATATCTAGATTTTACTTTATAGCATGAGTGAAGAGGAAACAGACTAGTAAGTGACCCTTATTTGTAGTTTTAAAAGAATGGGAAACAAATTTTCAGTTTCGCTATATTGACTTCCCAAAATTTGAACAAAAGAAAAATACAAAGATGTTCCTCTTTCCTTTCATAAACAATTTTTCAAAACCCTCTATTATTTTAATGAACTTTCTTGTAAAAACTAAATAGGCATGAGATATTCAGCAATAAGGAGATATAACATCACTGCGGACTCATGATATCGAACACAGATCCACACCTGTCCGACTTCATGGTTGATGGGTATTTTGATAATTCCCTCAGCAAACCTGATTCCAACTATTGAGGAATAGGAACCACAGTAACATAAAATAAAGAACTCCTTCCTCTATTTGCTCCTAGACAAATCCCTCTTCCCTTTTCCTTTGTGAAGAAATTGAATGGTAGCAGAAGTAAAGTCAGTACTAGAAACTTCAGATTGCGAACCGGATCTCAGTAATTTGGTTGAGCAATGAGCATGTAACATAATTCAACCATCCACTTTGTAGTTGGGAGAGCCAATTGCATTTTCGGTGCAGGCCAAACTACTTTTGGATCTAAAGGGATCCAACACTCATACCACTGAATTCTTAGCAAGAATACGAAGAAGGAAACCATTTTGACAAGAAATAATGTTTCATTTCTACAATAAGCTTAAAGAAGGCATAACATGGAATATGCAACAATGCAACCAACAAGTACCTACAGTTCACAAAAGACAAATTGGATTAGGCACTCACAATCGTTAAGGCTGAACATGGGGAGGAGGGGGAAAGCAGGACTTTGAAATAACCCTGGATATTATGGTAAAAATGCTGTGTTTTACATGCCAAGGCTATGGCCTCAGAAGTGATTCTGGACAAAGTTGTCACTCTTTCATGATTTTTTAATTCATTTTAAAATCACCAAAACACAACCTTACATGAAAAGCAACACCCTTTTTCCACAAGTTCCACATGAAATACGAATATAAAACATCATTCACTGTTTTTCCTTTCATTTAATTTGAAAATATCAAAATATGTACTTCAGAGAGAAATGACATACCACAACGGAGCATAGGTTGATGACAAATCAAGAAATGGGTACGGCCACCTGTAGCAACAGTAATTGTCACCATTGTTAACAAAACCATTTTGTCTGCAAGGTCTGTCATGTAAAAGTATAACATTGCTTACCAAATTGAGACGAATGCATGAATAATCCACTGAAAAAGGACATATATACTTGTCCATATCACGAAGAAGGACATCCCAAACCATTGTATTTGCTGAAACATAGGTTAAACTAATTTAAAATGTCTTATGCACTAAGGCAAATGAGGATGTTAATCTTATGAAAATATTCACCAGACAATTCAAAGTCGCATCTCCAAGGAGCAAAACAACATTTAGTGTATGCATGTTCACTGTCATCTACACAAGATGGAGAACTCATCAGATCAAATCATAAAGAGTCAAGTGGAGAAAAAGAGAAGATTATCACAGAAACCAATGATATTCAAGACCAAATTATCTAACTATATAACTTTACGAATCAACTTTATATGTGGTTACTGTTTATTATATAATAAAAAATTCTGAGAACGAGGATCAAGTTGAGTATATGCAATGCTTATCATTGTAAAGGAGATATCCATTGTTGCAGGGCATTGTAATACCAATTATTTTGTTTATATATAATATACATCAGCTGATTAAAAATAAGATTGAAGTGCAGGAATTACATTCTGTCATTCTTCCATTTCAAATTATTGACATAGTCAATTTATTTGCTGAGTGACTAGGGTGGAAATGGGATGGACTGGGCTACGCTTTCTCAGGCTTCAGCTTGGTCTGCTTCCCATATCAAAGGCCTAAGTCTGATCTATTTACCTGAGAGATTGGCCTAACCTTTTTAAAGCCTGATCAAAGAGCCTACTTAAAAGTCTACTTTCTAATAAGGCCTATCAGATAAGGTTACTGATATAGCACCAGAGATAAATTGGTTATAATATACATACAGCAATATGGTTTTTGTCTCAGGGACAAAAGTCTCCTATAAGGAATATTCTCTGTCCACAAACTGCAAAAACAATAATAAATTGTGCTTGGTGTGTATTTGGTATCAATGAATCTGCTGAGTCTTGGGGAGTTAGATGGGTTTGAGAGCTTTCCTGGGCCGGATCCATTCCCTAATGTTTGAGCCAGATATGCAAAAAAAATGGTGGTAGAAAGGGAAGGAGAAGATCTATGGCAGCAGTTTGAACAGTGAAATGTCATTCTTAGCCAACTCCCCTTTCACACTTGTCATTTATCGTGATATTACAGCATTTTGTTATTGTGTTTTAACAATGTTTGAGTCCAAGGACTAAAATGTGACAGAGATGGAAGTTAAAAACTAACATGACAATTTTAAAATTTTAGAAACTAATATGACCAACTATTTCAAAGACCAAACGAGAGTTTAGTCAATATTCTTCCAATACAAAAACTATAGCCAGTTTTTTTCTACAGATAACTACCATTAACCAGTTACCAGCTATCACATAGACTCTTCAACAACACCAATCAAGTCTTATCTCACTAAGTGAAGTCGACTACATGGATCACATGATGCTATTGAGCTCAGTCAAAAATCAAATTTTCAAAAATTTTAGTTAATCAAAAAATTCATTTTAATAACCTTGTCTAAGGTTCTTTTGGGACTCTCTCAACCCTTCTTTACTGAACTAAGAATCATGCAATTCACTTTCCTTACTAGCACTTTTAAAGGTATTCTTACACATGATTGAACCACCTTAGACAATTTTCAGTCATCTTTTCCACTGTAGGTACTATTCCAATATTCTCTCATATACTATTATGTCATATCCTATCATTTCTATTATGTCATATCCTATCATTTCTTGTGTATCCATTCATCCACCTAAGCATTTTCATTTCTGTCAATCCCACTTTTTTTGCATGTTGTTCCTTTAAAGCTTAACATTCACTACCACATAAGATAGTTGGCCATATTACAATATGATAAAACTTCTTTTTTACCTTAATAAGTATTTAATGGTCACAAATAACTCATGATATCTTTCTCCACTTTAACTAACCAGCTTGTATTATGTAACATTTTCATTAAGTTCTCCACTTCTCTATCATTTTGTATAATCGATCCTAAGTATCTGAAACTAAAAACTTGTAGTATGTTATCATCTCCAATTTTAACTTTCAACGCACGATCCTCGTCTAAGACATAATAATTAATACTAATTATTTTCTATTTCTATTAATTACTATAATCCAGTAGTTACAATCACATATACTCTTAATACATAATTATTAATAATTATTTTCTATTAATAACTTTCACTAGCAATTACTCTTGTCTCTTGTGCCTCCTAGTTTACACTTTCCTAATGTGTTGGTTTGCCGGTTTGTAGACCAATGGATCTGCCAAGTATCATTTCCTCTCCATAAAAAATCAGCCTTGTCCACAAAGTTGAATGTAGAAAATTAACTCTTCAAAATAAGTTCATATTCCCAAGTTGCATATTCAACAGACATGGCTGTTAGATAATAATCTCATAAAATAAGAAATATGATTAGATATCCATTATATGTAACTGTAAATTACGGATTTTATTTTGAATCCTTTGTAATTATGATTAATTCTATTTTACCCTAGATACAATTCATGCATGTTCATATGCACAACATTCATACACTTTCACTTTATATAGTATTAGTAGTTAAGAAATTTTTTTTTCCCCCCCTCCGATCTTTGTTGCTCGCAATATGTTGTGTTCACCAGAAAAGAGGGTAGATAAAACAATCTTTATGAACTCTTTATTGAATTGATGAATTTTCTGTATACAACTCTGTTTCCCAGAGCAATGCTCCTCAGAGAATTTTCTCTGCCAAGTTTCAGAAACTAACTTTTAAAAAAAGACCCCTAACTACTCTCCCAACTATTATTTATAACTAGGGCTTGAAATAGAAAAATAACTCCTAACTGCTAACTGCTAACTGCTAACTAACATTATTAACTGTCCTCTTTTTTCTAGAGTAAACCAGCCAAGGCTTGGCCTTGTCGAAGTTAGTATTTACAAAGATATTAGGGTTAGGATCCTGACTCCTATCATTCTCCCCTTCTAGAAGAACAGATTTGCCCTCAAGTTTGAACTGAGGAAATTGGCTCAGCAGCACAAATTCATTTTCCCATGTAGTATCCTCTAAAGGACAGTGCTTCCATTTGATCAGTTGTTTGCAAGGAGTGTTGCCGTTAATAACTTATCTTTGGGCTAGAGCAGCTTCAGGTTCAATTGTACCTCACCAATTCGTTGCAGAATCTTGTAGGGCCCATAGAACCTAGCAGCAAGCTTAGGATTAATCCTTTGGACCACTGTTTGCTGCCTATGGGAACGAAGTTTTAAGAAAACAAACTCTCCAACTTCAAAGGATATGAGTCTTCTTTTCTTGTCAGCAAAATGCTTCATCTGCTGCTGGGCCTTGTGCAAGTTAAACTTCAGTTGAGATAGAGCTTCATCACGATCAAGTAGATCACTGGTTACAACTTGAACCTTGGTTTCTCCCAGAAGGAACTGGGTCAGTCTTGGAGGTGGTCTGCCATAAACAATTTCAAATGGAGTAGCAGCCGTGGCAGTATGGAAGGATGTGTTATACCAGAATTCAGCCCAATGCACCCATAGGGACCAGTTCCTTGGTTGCTCAGAGGCAAAGCACCTTAAGTATGTCTTAAGGCACCTATTGAGAACCTCTGTCTGACCATCCATTTCCGGATGATATGAAGAACTCATTTTCAGCTTGGTCCCTTGTAATCTGAAGAGCTCTATTCAAAAAGAGCTGATAAAGAGTGGGTCCCTGTCACTCACAATTGAAGAGGGAATGCCATGTAGACAAACTATTTCCTTAGCAAAAACCTCAGCTACTGTTCTGGCTGTATAGGGATGCTTAAGCAGTATGAAATGCCCATATTTGGACAACCTGTCTACTACTACCAAAACTGCCTCATAGCCTTTAGATTTCGGAAGCCCTGTAATGAAATTCAATGAAATGTCATCCCATACCATAAAAGGAATAGGTAGGGGCTGAAGTAAACCTCCTGGGACAGTGGCTGCATATTTTTTCCTTTGACAGACATCACAACTTTTGATAAATTCCAGGACCCTCTTTTTCATATCCACCCAATAAATATTTCGTGCAATCCTCCTATAAGTTTTCAGAAAACCTGAATGCCCACCCTCAGGCGAAGCATGGAATTCTTCCCAGAATTGAGGAATGTAAGAGAAGGTAGATGGTATAACTATGCTCCCTTTATGCAGTAATATCCCATTCTGAACCAAATAACCTACCCTTGTTACAGAATTTTGCTGTAAATCAGTCTTCATCCTTTGAATAAAATCATCTTCCTTTATTTCCTTCTGAAGTGCCTCACCTTGCAGCCATAAAGGAAAGGACAAGATAGCATTTAGCTCCACATCCTCGTAGATTCATGAGAGGGCATCTGCTACCTTATTTTCAATACCAGCCTTGTAGACTACTGTGAATTGGTATCCGAGTAACTTGGATAACCAATTTTGCTGAGCAGAGGTGGTAATCTTCTGATGCAGTACTTCCTTCAAACTCTTCTAATCAGAAAAAATGGTGAACTTCCTCCCAATCAAATAATGACGCCAATGCTGGATGGACAAAACCAAAGCCATCAATTCCCTCTCATAAGCTGATTTAGACAATTGACCTACAGAAAGAGCCTTGTTGTAAAATGCAATAGGTTGCTGCTATTGTATAGGAACAGCTTCTATACCACTCCCAGAGGCATCACATTCATTCTGGAATTCTTGTGAAAAATCAGGCAACCTCAACACAGGAGCAGTAGTGACTACTGTCTTCAATTTCTGAAAGGCTTGTTCAGCCCTTGGATTCCACACAAAGGCCTCCTCCTTCTTAGTTAACTCAGTGAGAGGTTTAGCTATCTTCTCATAGTTCAAAACAAATTTTCTGTAGTACCCTGTCAACCCAAGGAACCCTCTCACCCCCTTCACATTCTTAGGAGTTGGTCAGTTTAAGATGCTGCTAACCTTAGTAGGTTCCATTGTCACCCCATTTTCAGGAATCACATGTCCAAGATACTCAATTTGACTTCTACCAAAACTACATTTTTTTATATTAGCAACAAATTGATGTGCCCTGAGGACTTCCAGAACTTTAGAAAGATGCAAAATATGTGCAGACCAGTCCCTACTATAAACTAATATGTCAAAAAAAACCAGTACAAAGTGACAAAGAAAAGGTCTGAAAACCTGATTCATAGTAGACTAGAAGGTGGCTGGTGCATTCATTAGGCCAAAAGACATGACTAAGTACTCATAATGACCTTCATGAGTTCTAAAAGTTGTTTTACCAATGTCTTCCTCCTTAAC